TGGCCAAGCTGCGCCGGGAGCTCATCACCCCCAAGGGCGGCGGCGGCGGCGGCCCCGGAGAAGGTGCGTTGTCTCCCTGCCCGCCGGACAGCACCCTCCTTCCTTCCCTCCCTCCCTCCGGTTCTTCCCGTGCAGGACTCGGTGCTCCTGTCGAGGCCTTTGGGGCCGACCTCCCTTTGAAAAGCGACTGAAGGGGCTTGTGCGCCTTGGCCAAGGTAACGCGCTGGTAGAGTAGAAGTCTTGAGGGCTGTAAGTGCAGGAACATCCGGCAGCAGCCTCCTGGCTTTAAACGTGACGGTGCGGATTTGTGCGCCTTGGCCAAGGTAACGCGCTGGTAGAGTAGAAGTCTTGAGGGCTGTAAGTGCAGGAACATCCGGCAGCAGCCTCCTGGCTTTAAACGTGACGGTGCGGATGGGGCAAGCCGCATCGCTTGAAGCGAGTGCTCCATCTGCGCCCGAGTCGAGCACAGCCCTCTGTGAAACCTTGCAGGCTACGCTGCGTTAGCAGGCGCGCGTGAAAGAGTCTTACCGAGGCAAGGTGCTCCAGGACCAGACGGAGCTTCGGCTCTTTGTTTCATACTCTTGTCCTGATGTCCAGGAAGTTTACCTGTCTTACACTCGGACAATAATAAATGTAACGGTGGGACTGCTCTCCGGAATCTTAGAAGATAGAAAGCATCCACCATTAAATGAATATTTTTTTACTCCTCGTTTGCAGGTTTTGATGTTGCAAAGACAGGTGATGCCCGAATCGGGTTTGTGGGTTTTCCATCAGTGGGGAAATCTACTCTTCTAAGTAATCTTGCTGGTGTATACTCTGAAGTGGCAGCATATGAATTCACTACACTGACTACTGTACCTGGGGTCATTAGATACAAAGGAGCAAAAATACAGGTGAGATCTTTTTCTGTCTGTTAGGGTTCGATAGTATGCGTGGGTGTAATGATATTATGCCTGAATAGTCTGGTCTGACATTAGCGGGTTAGAAGTGATAGACAGAAGTGCTTGAGAATGCATTGGAAATGTGTCCATGAGGTACTGATTATAACCTGTTCTTAACTTGGCTCTGTGGAGAAGTTCCTGCAGTAGCTCTCCTGTTTTGTATAACACTAATTCCATTGTACCAGAAGGGGATTGGGGATAATACAATATGTAAGAATCCGTGGGGAAACAGTTCTGCCATGTTCTCTTCAGATCTGCAGTAGAGTGAACTCTTGAGGAGAAAGGTAAAAATGGGGTTTATCTTCTCCTTGAAGAAAAATATTTTTCTCAAATGTTACTTTCTTTCCTCTGAAAAATAGCTTCTTGATCTCCCAGGAATAATAGAAGGTGCGAAGGATGGGAAAGGCAGAGGACGGCAAGTCATTGCAGGTGAGTGTATTAAGCCTTGGAGAAAGCACCATCCTCTTAAGTTAGTTAGTTAAGTTAGTTAGTAAAGCTTATGAGAATGAAGGGTTGAATCACTATTTCTGATGTCTTAGAAATGCTGATTTATCGTACGTTGGAATTGAGCTGCCTGATGTGAAGCAGTAGCCATTTTCAGTTTGCTCTGTTTTCAGTTATGGCTTTATGCATTTGCTGAGTTTGTGCTATGTGTTGACACTGCACTAAAACTATATTACCAATTTTAAAGGCAGATATGATCCCATATTAAAGAAGGCTGCTGTTGTAATTTCTATACCAAGTTTACTGTTACCATTTTGGGATCTGAACATAGGAAAAAAAGCTTTTTTCAGCCTGTGTGATCCTTATATCATGTAAAAGTCTGTCTGTCTGTCTGTCAGTGATGCTTGAACAACATCACAACTTCAGTCTTATTTTGAAATTAAAAAATAAGACAAGTACTGGCCTTAATGGGTTAAATGTTCTCATCAGTCCACGGAGCTGTCTTTCGTGTTGTTTTGTCTCAGTGCGTGAGCATAATTTTTTGAGGGGTGGCTTTTTTTTTTTTTTTTCTAATTCTTAGTTGCTCGAACCTGTAACCTCATTCTAATTGTTCTGGATGTGCTGAAACCCCTGGGGCACAAGAAAATTATTGAGAATGAACTAGAGGGATTTGGAATACGCCTGAATAGTAAGCCCCCCAATATTGGCTTCAAAAAAAAGGATAAAGGTGGCATTAACCTTACAGCCACGGTAAGTTGGAAGTTTTCTTTAACCAGAGTTAAAGAAAATAAATTCTTTGTGGAAAGAGGCTGTTGCAGTGAATGGTATACTTGGGACCATTTCTATGTTAGAGCTTTTGAAGCTGAACTGCTGCACTGTGCTGTACTCAGCTATTTTCCTTGAAGGCAGCACCTGCCCTAAGAGCCTGACCACCTCCCGCCACAAATCTGCGGCTTGGTGGCCTTGCAACAGTGACAGGTTGCAAGGCCTGAAGGAAGCTTACAAAACCTGAGGCTAGCCAGATGGCAGCAGCGTTCTCCTAGAGAGCTCAGAGTTCCAGGCCCTGCACCCTGGACTACTCTTCATTTTCCATTAAACACTCATTGAAATACGCATAGACACCAAAATTCAGAATTCTGCTCTGGGATCAAGGTATCTAACACCTAGTTGTTTTGGTACTGAACTAGTAGATACGCAAGTTTATATTGAAAGTAGTCCCAAAATGACTGGAAACTTTACGTTTGAGATAGCTGTTTCCAGCCATTGATGGCATTGATTTGAATTAAAGCTGTTGTGATTTAAATCTCTTTTTCCCCTCTCTGCAAGCTAACCATAGCAAAATCATAATCAAATCCAGTAACTTGCAGTGCAGCTATTATTTCTAGCAGCATATATATAGTGATTGGTAGGTGATAGTGTTACTAATTGTAATACCTGATTTGACTGTAGGCTCTGCCATTCCTTGCTTAATACTATGTGTATGTTCAGTGTCCTCAGAGTGAGCTGGATACTGAAACAGTGAAGAGCATCTTAGCAGAGTATAAAATTCACAATGCCGACGTCACACTGCGCAGCGATGCCACTGCTGATGACCTAATAGACGTTGTTGAAGGAAACAGGTACTGTTGGGGCTCTGAATGTGGCATACTTGCACATTATATTACAAGGAAAAGAATAGTCTCTCAAGTCTGCTTCCCACAGAAGCTAAGGTAGTAACATGATATCAACAAATGCTGTTTAGCACCCTCCTTTCCTTTTCAAAAATGATGCTGTTCTCTTTCAGTGAAAGTGGCAGTGTATTGCTGCTAGGCTGCTGTATCACTCTTTTCTTCTCTTTGCCGGGTTTACATCCCATGCATTTATGTCCTGAATAAAATTGACCAGATTTCCATTGAGGAACTAGATATTATTTACAAAGTACCCCACTGTGTACCGATATCTGCTCATCATCGCTGGAACTTTGATGATTTGCTGGAGAAGATTTGGGACTACTTGAAGCTAGTACGAATGTGAGTCCCAATTGCTGCCTTTTGTGGAGTTAAGCGTAAGGCTGAGATTCAAGAATGTCTCAAGAGTGGGTGGAATGATGATTCTTGTACAATGGTTCTCTACTGTCTTAGAACTCTGCCTTTCAAGTGCTGATGTCTTTTGTCTCTGCAATATGTTTAATCTGTAAACTAGAGATCATCCTGTTCATCAGTTGTGTGATGAAGAGACAGAGAGTTCCCTAGCGGTCACAAGTACTAGATTTTGGACTTCTTGGAGGAGGATTAAGTGAGGACCTTGTGAAACCAACTCTAGAAATAAATAGAAAAAGACTAAAAAAAAAATAAAAGGATACCTAGTCAAATTTAGTGTAAAGATGTGAATTCCAGAGGTAGTCATTTTTTCAGTCTGTCAAAATTGACATTATGCATTCAGCTCTCTTAATCGTACTGAAATTTAGTTCTTCATCTAGCATTGCAGATATTTTACTATAAACTACTACAGGATTATGTCGTAGCTATAAGTGGATCTAAATACGTTGAAATTATTAATATTCATGATACAGTAATTATAATCTTTTAAACTTGTATGTATCTTCTTACAAAAATGTAATGCAAAATATACTGTAAAGGGAATTTAGCATTTCTAGGTATCAGGGCTATAGATTTCATCAGTGTTTCCCCTGTGTAGACGAGTTGAAAATTGCACAAGTTGGAACTGTAAAACTGTAGCTGCTCTTCTCAATCAACTACTCCTATTTCATCTACCATTTTTTCAAGCAGCAACAGAAAGTCTACCAGGGATAAATCATTGCAGTTACAAGGGGGAATCTGCTGCAGCCATTGGCTACCCAGCTGCATTTTCAGCTTAAGAGCAGTAAACAATTCACAGGGTACCTGTTGTCACCACTGAAATAGCGGAACTTGGCACAGACGCTAGGGTGGTAGTGAAAATAACCTATGAAATCTCACGGTGGGTTGAAAAAGAACAGTATGTTCCATTATTGACAGCTGTTCAATCTGTGTTACAGCTACACAAAACCTAAAGGGCAACTCCCAGACTACACCTCTCCTGTCGTACTACCTTACTGCAAGACTACAGTAGAGGATTTTTGCATGAAGATCCACAAAAATCTCATTAAAGACTTTAAGTAGTAAGTACTGTTGTAAAATAATCGTTCCTAGAGTATAGGAAATAGTCTGCCTGATGGTACGTTCTCACTCTCCTGTAAGCTAGAAGGGAAAACAGAATTGAATTTTGATGTTGAATAAAAAAGATCTCCCCATGAAAATTTAAACTTGATACTTAAATTATTATATGTAATGTTTCCTTGCTCTTTGCTGGCCCAGTTTCCTCCATTGGAAAAATATTTTTCTTTAAACTTCAAAGTAGCATTGGATGCAGAATTATGGGCCATGTCCTATATATACAAGTATTTTTGAATGACTTCATACTTTGTTTTGATCTGTTTGTGCTCTAGTTCACACACACCACTCATCCAGGTACTTGTAGAAGAACAAAAATAGCTGTTAAGCATTGCTTTCTGTATTAGGTTTGTGACAGAAATAGCTGTTGCTCTGCTGTCTGCTTATTACATTCTGTGCCTCTTTAAAATGATTTTTTTTTTCTTTTCCCTCCCCTTTCAGTGCACTGGTCTGGGGTTCATCTGTTAAACACAACCCTCAGAAAGTTGGCAAAGATCACACTCTTGAGGATGAGGATGTCATTCAAATTGTGAAGAAATAAAGTTGTTCTTGTGTGGTTTGCTGCTGTGCCTGACTTCATCATCAAGTTGTAAGTGGCAAAGAACAGGCCACTTTTCTCAAACCTGTAGCAAGGAGATATTGCTTTTTATGGTGGTAACTTACTGCATGGAAAAAGTAATGTTTCTGGCCAATTTGTACTGTAGTGTCTCATTCTGGCAGAATGTACAGATGACAAACTCATGTTAAATAACTTTTACAAGGGCAAAATGCTGTAAGGAAGCTTTAATAGCTGTGATGATTTTCTACTGCATGTATATGCCTTTTTCCAAATTAGAAAAAGTTTACATATCTGGACTTTGTTCTAATTTAGAACTAAAAATGAAAAGCAGAGGTCAGAGAACAAAATATTGGAAGACAGTTCTAGCAGAACTAGCTCTGTCTGCCTTAATCTGAGATGTTCCTGTGTGACTACTACTTAGAAGACAGTAGTCCCACAGTTGTGAAAGAAAATGCTAGGTTCTGCTCATTTTGAGTAGTAACTTTGTTTATACTAGGGAAAGTAAACTAGATGCCCAGGTTCTGCTGTGTTAAAGACTCCTAGGCACTAAGTTTTGAGTTTTCTTATAAGAAGATCTTGCTTATCTGACTTCTCTAAATAGTTGTTCAGGAGAGGCAGGCTGCTCTTAACACAGTGTTATTGTTCTTAAAACTGAGTAGAGTTGAACTTTCTGCTCAAGTTAAAAAGTATATCAACTTCATTAGCCTGTAGCATTCCTCTTCCTAGAAAAAAAAAAGGAGGTAGGGCTGTTTGTGTCAGATACCTCCCCCAATTTCACCAGTTCAAAAGCAGCAGTACCTGCAGCTACTTCAGATGCTAATTTAAACATTAAGTCACTGCAACAGAAGCAGTGTTTGATGGTGAGCACAGTAAAGAAAGCTTTCAAGCCTTGATTCTGTTTCACTTCAAGCATACAGTCCTTAGCAGCTGGCTACATGCTACAGATGGTAGAGGGGAAGATCCAGTGCTGGCACTAGAGCTTGCTATTTTCCTTAAAGTCTTTGGGTGGTGGTAAACTAGAACACCCTTCTCTACACTAACCATAGCCCTCTAAGAACAACCTTTGTAACAGCTGTAGCTTGTTAACTATAATCAGCTGAGGGGGGCCTGTCATTTCAATACAGCAGTTCCTTGGCACCTCTTCAGTGAGGTCAGTTATCTCCAGTGAAACAGATTAAGTTTGTTCCCACGTGGAACAAGCTACTACAGTTGGAGTTTTTTTCCCTGGAGATTCACCTCAAGATACTGGTTCTGGCTTACACAGGAAATGCAATGCTAAAGGTTAGTCAATATATCAAAATTATAGTTTAAGAGCAGTTGATACAGACAGCTGGTAGAATTGACTTTATTTACAGAATGTTACTGGGAAAGTGTCAAGTTAAAAAAGTATGAAAACAATCTTACAAGGACAAGCTGGTGATTGCATGTTTTACAGAGATTGTTGTATGAACAACCACTAGAAGTATGGGTGACCCCCCCCAGAGATTCCACACTGGAGATTTTAACTTGCTATTTCTGTACAACATTGTCTCTGTTGGACTGAAACAAACCCACCACAGCATGCTGGCAATTGTTATAATACAGTCAAGTGATTTTTCTGCTGCTGGCTTTGCATTCAGTGAGACTTAAGAGCAAGTTTGTGAGAATTCTGGTTTTGCTTTCACTTTAAAAAAAAAAGCACAATGACCTAAGCTAGATAGAAGACAATGACAGCAGTACTAGACTCACAAGTGAGAAGGTGAAGTGAGGAACCATGCAGCAGAAGGATGGGAAAGAACATGTAACTGTTCAGGAAAGTGAAACAGGCTTAAAAGGAACATAGTATTTAAAAACCAAATATACACAGTAAGATCACAAAACTACCCCCTCCTCCCCCTTTCAAGCCACAGAACAAGACTCCAGAGGCAAGTTTCACAGTAATTGCATCAAGCAGATGCACACTAGATTTAGGACAGTTCTTAGGACTCCCTTCTCTAAATCGAACTGAAGGCAGCATAGAACATACCACAGCTATGACTGAGGAGTTGAAGGGTGAGGATTTAAAGGCTCCATTTTGATGACCTTTAGCAACTTGTTTGAAAGATTAAAACAAGGAAAATACTGCAGCTGAACAAGGACCAGCACCAGCCCCCTTGAGAGGACTGTGACCAAATAGGTACCTACAGTCTCTTTGCTTATGGCAGACTGAAGAACTGGCTTTGTCAGTACTGTACCAGGTCCCATCCTCAAGGCAGTTTGAAGACTAAACAGTTCTCTCATTTGATGGCAAGAGTCACACACAAGGAATCAGACCTTTGTTATACAGACAGCAAGATGTGGGCTTTTTACTTTGACACTTTAGCTACGTTGAGTGCACAGTACACGACAGAAGGACGTGTTTGAGAGGGAGACTAAGGGGAGATGAGCAGCAAGAAGAGGCAAAGCAACTTTATCCTGTTCACTCACACTTAGGATATGCAACTTTAATCTTAAAGAAAGTCCCACATGTACAATGGAGAAAGATCCAAACCATAGGCACAACTAAAGCTCAACTGTTATCAGCTACTCTTATGTACAGCTGTATAGATTCAAAAAAGCTATTCTATGTGTATATATACAAAAGATTGTTTATACATAAGTCTGTACACAAGGGTCTATACATTTAGTTTTCTGCAGGAGGAATCCATAGCTGCTACCTCTACACTAGAGAATATCAGCACTTCATTCACATATCTTACAAAAACAAAAAATAGACACTTCCAGGATTAAACTGGCTTTGTCTTGCATCTAAATTTCTTCAGGCTTCACTATTTAAGCCATAATGGATCCTTTAGTCTTGATGCAGACATGAGACCAGGACAGGTGCCATGTGCTTTAGTCTCTTGAAAAGAAATTTTGCACAGAGTGCTAAAAATAAAAGCCCCAAAAACAAACAGAGGTGAAGTCCTGACTATGGACATTTTTATCCAGTCTAAAGAAGTACAAGTGTCCCACCCAGCGGTCACTGTTCACTGCCGATATTCCAGTTCATCTACACTGATGACTTTGGATGGCATGGAAGGGAGAGGCTGCTGCAAGACATCTGAACCAAACCATTTTGCAAGGCCAATAGGAGAGCCACTTCTCTGGCTGGGGCGATGGTCAAGCTGTGTGTGCCCATGAGATAATCCAGTCCGAGACGGCACATTTTGGGGGGTGGTTTGCACACCAACAGGTGATCCCTGTGCTCCAGTGCCTGTGAAATGTAAAGCTATTAGAGGTGGAGTAATAAGTTCACCCAAGACTGCAAATTTGTCCTAAAGCAATCATAGGGTACGGGTATCCCATGTAAGCTGAATGCGGCATTAACTCCCTTAGTCCTGGAAAATCCAGACCCCACACTGATTACCACATGTCTGTTCTCTTGGTACTCCTGTAAACTCTGCCCGACATTGCTGATTCCAGAAACAGTACCGTGTCGGTTTTAATTGGAAGACCAGCATCACAGAACGTTTTACTCAATATGGGCGCAGGCGAGCCTTCCTCACCCAGCAAGGAAGTGCTGTTCACTGAACAGAAACTGCTCTTCACAACACTGCAAAAGGCAGATCCAGTCAATGGCAAGATACGTCAAGAAATCGGAAAATTCAGCCGCCTTCTGCCACGAAGGCCTGCGGTGGCCAGAACTACTCTGGTCATTTACACATTCATGATTGCTAATTTTGTGTAGGCACTGAAGTAGTTTCCTGTTAGCTTAGTCTACCGAAACAGGCCAACAAGTATACTACCTGGAACAGTCTAGTCACAGCATTTTAAAACCTCACATTCCTGTTTTACATTTTAACCTACCTGATCGCTGTAGTTGCTGTTGCATCATTGCTAGCTGCAAAGGTGTCCCAGAGCGTGGATTTAAGATGTGATGGCTGGCTGTTGGTAGTGGATAAAAGGGCTGGCCAAGGATGGGAGCAGAGAGTCCCTGCAAGTGAGACAGGTCCACTCCAGGAGGAAGCATACCTGTTGGACAACAGTGAGGAAGCTTTTTACCTAATAGGCATAAGAAACTTTAAGGAAAACAAGCATTTATATAGTGAGATGTGTTGGAATTTATGGTCTGGTTTTAAAGGTAAGTTTTGATGTAATAAGTGTTGCCAGTAACAAGTATCAATTTTTGCTGTTTTTAAACCCAAAATAAGTGTTAGAGAGAACATTCATACACTTTCCCTTAAGTTAAGGTATTACCTGCTTGCAGTAGAGGAAGATGCTGCGGATGAACCCCCTGGGCCAACATTCTCTGGACCAATCCTGGATGCAGTTGATGAGCAGGTCGTACAATTGGTACGTGGGGAACAAGGGGTACTTGATGAACAGGACGGAGGAAAGGGCCTCCTGGTACTGGGGAGGCCATTGTAGGAGTCTTTCTACCAGTTGATTT